GGGGGGGGTATATGTGGAGTTGCAGTGTCAGTACCTGTTGTGGGAGTGTGTGCCCAGGTTCAGTGTGCACATGGCCTTGACTCTACTTCTCTTTTCTTGTTCTAGTCACTCAGAGAAAAGCCATGCCTAGCTCCCCAGATTGGGGCTCTAGTCTAACACTTTGCCCCCACCCCCAGCCAGAGGTCCCTATCAACTTGGCCCCAGCCCCAGGCATTCTCAGCTAAGGGTTCACAGTGAGGTGGCTTCTACAAGTAGGGCTAGACCTGAATAGGCCTGTGGCAGCCAGCGGCCCCTCCTCTGAGGAGAAATCAAAGGGATGTGGAGTACCAGTTTTGGAACTAGAAGGGTGTGGGCAGGGAATAGAGATGGATTAGGCACCCTGTAAAACCAAAGCCGATTGTCCCAGGCTCACACTGAGTCCTAACTGTAATCTAACCCCGGGGTAAGCCACATTTCCAGTCCTGAAGCACAGGACTGACCCCTAGTCACATTCCAAGTGGCCGCCTTCGTCTGCCCATGCCCAGGATGCCCTGTATTCTGAGCCCTGTGGCCTGGCTGAGCCCCAGGCCTGACCTGCTAGAACTTCTGGACTGTGTCTCCTGGATGGCAGAGAGACAACCGCACCCCTGCCCCAAGGATGAAGTCTTGCCTCCTCACCTTGCATCTCTGCCCCAGTGGGTCAGACTCATGGAGGGCAGCTCCAGAGATGACCCTTGACAGACTTCTGCCTTGCCAGGACCCAGAAGCCTCCAGGACTGACTGGATACCATATGGTACTGCCTCTCGGAACCCCTCATTCCCCACAAGTCTGCCCCTGACCTCCAGGGGGCCTTACCCTCCAGAGAAGCAGTCTCTCTCCAACTATCATTTCTTCCTCCTCCAGGCCTGAAAGAGGAGGGTTCCTTGGAAGAGGAATACCTTCCCAAAGCAGGTCTGTTCCAAGGACTCATGAAATGGTGACGTTTAATGAGAACCCCCCCACTCCCCACCCCTGTATATACATCTATAAAAAATTCAAATACAGCAAGTTACCATTGAGTCAGACTAGGAGGGACTGACAGGGCATTAAATACTGTGGGGTCGGAGAAGGGGAAGGGGAGGTTGTACAAAACAGGAGCAGAGGTGGGGGACTGAAAAGTATGGGCGCTGGGGGGAGGGGGATGGCTGGGCCCCCCCAGTGTCAGGAGCTTATAATCTGATGGTGGCAACAGAGACCCTGGGACAGACAGGAGGCTGGGGCAGGAGGAGAAATTGTGGATGTGAGGGGCTCGCCTCAGGCCCCCCAAGGGCTCCTGGGAGTCGCTGGCATTGGAGGGTCCAGCCCAAGGGGGCAGGGTCTGGGTGAGGTGGTCTTTGGTGGGTGGGTTAGCTGCGTGGTCCTCCTCCCCTGAGGGAGGGTGGAGGGCCGGTGGGGTGTGGTGGGGCTAGGGGGCGGCAGGCCCGGGCCCGCCGGGGTCTCTACAAATTGTGTCTGAAAAGAATGCAGAAGGTCCTCCTGCCCGTGTGCAAAATAGAAACGGGTCTGCGGGCTCAGCTCCGGCCTCCTGCTCCTCTGCAGGTGCGCTGGCATGTCCTCATGGGATGCCGGGCTCTAGGGAGACAGGGCAGGGGGCTGTGAGGGATGAGGGTGGGATGGGCTCCCCTCTGCTGCCCAGCCTCACTTGACTTACCAGATCAGGAGACTGTTGGCGGTGGCAGCAGCGGCAGCCAGGGCCAAAGTGACAGGGACACTGATCAAGAAGGGTGCTGAGGGTCTTCCGCCGCTGCCCAGCTCCCCAGGGTCACAGATCTTCGTGGTGGGCGGGGGTGCCAGTGAGCTGGTGGTGCTGGTCGTGGTCTCTGGGGAACATGGGGGAAAACTCAGGGCAGGGCCAGGGCTGGAGTACCATCCAGATCTGGGGGTTCACGAGGAGCACTGTTCTACTTCCTATATCACACCAGTGCTGCCTCCCGATCGGACAGCCCCTGCCTCCTCTCTCGAATATGCCCTGCCTCCCCCATCAGGCAGATCCTGTTTCCCCAAGACTCAGAGACGATCCCTCCACCCAATGGCCTCTACCAAGAATGTCCAGACAGCAAGAACCAGGAACAGCAGGAGCTGGACAGACAAATGGGAGTGTGGCGACCCCGGGGGCAGAGGGTCTAAGTGCCAGGAGAAGTTGGAGGGAGCAGGATAAAATCAGGCAACAGTGCAGGCTGACTGAGAGCACAGTGGGTGGGGGCAGGCTCACCAGGAGCCTGTGCCTCTGTGGTGAGGTGTCGCGGCTCCTCAGTCCAGGGTGTGGCATGGGCAGCCACGCTCCAGTCGCTCCATGTCCCAATCTCATTGTCCTTGGCCGCCACCTGGATGATGTACTCCTTCCCAGCATAGGCATCCGTGATGGTGTGTGCTGTGCCATCGGACAGCTCCACCTGCAGTCAGACCACAGGGGTGGGGGGTGGGAGGTGGGAAGGACCCCTGGGAGTAAGGAGAGTGAGGCACCCCCAGAGGAGGTGAGAACACTTCTGGGGAGAGTAGAGTGAAGACACCCTTAGAGGGAAAGAAAACTTCCCTGGGGGAGTGAGGGGATGTTGAGAATATTCCTGTGGGAAAGTAAAGACATCTCAGGGAGGAGACCCCCCAAGTGGGGGGAAGATGGTCCTGAAGGAGAGGAAGAAAATCTTTAGGGTGATTGGAAACACCCCTAGGGGTGAATAAGGAGAACTTTGCTCAGTGTTTGGACTCTGCTGTCATCCCAGCTCTGTCACAGTCTTCAGCCTGAGACCTGACCTCAGTCCCAGCCTGGAGGTGAGAAAGGATGGTGGCCCTCTCCCATCAGGTAGCAGTTTAGAGGGAAGGTTACAAACACAAATATGGAGCTAGGCTGCTTGAGTCCAAATTTTTAGCTCCATTCCCTACCAGCTAGGTGACCAACTTACTTCCACAAGCCTTGCGGTCCTCATCTGTAAAAAGGTGTTAACGATCTATCTCTCAGGGTTGTAATAAGGACTCACGCACATGGTAAGCACCAGACTTCACTCAGCTCTGTCATCATGAGTTCCAGTTCAGAGCCTGGGTTCCTGTGTGCCCAGTGCACCCACCAGCCTGGCCCCATCTGGGCCTCCCCCACAAGAAGGCCTCAGTATGGTTATGGCCCTACCTGAGGCAGAAAAGGGTGGGGAGCAGCTCCCAGGGTGGCAGGACAGCAGAACAGCTGCTCCATTTCCTCCTTGAGGCATCACCACCCCACCCCCGCCCAGCGGCCTTATCGTGCTGGTCTCCCCCATACTCCAGGCTGGCCTGCCTGTCCAGCGCCCCTCCCAGGCCCAGGCTGGGCTCTGGTTCATCTCAGCGGCACCCGCCGCCTCATTAAGCCGCCTCATAAACAGGGGCAGCCGGTGGGGGCGGAGGAGGAGGGGGCTGCTCTGGGCCACGTCTGGCCTCAGGGCTTTTTTGGTCCCAGTTCCAATCTTCCCCTGCCCCCCCCCACCCCAGAAAACTGGGGTCTGGACTACCCGACTTAAAAGGCTGTGAGTACATGTATGCGTGTGTATGTGTATTTGTGTGTGTGCAACTCAGTCCAAGTGCAGTTGGAAGCCCCTCCAGTTCCCTCTGAGTCTGTGACCCTGAGGCAGGAGACACTGGTAAAGGTCAGGGTCAGGGTGAGAGCTGCTTTGGGCCCAGACCTGAGTTTAGTAAGCTCTACTCCCAGCCCTGGAAGAACGGTGGGCCCCACAGTCCCTCTTCTCCTAGAGCTGGGCTCCAGTTCCATCTCTGATCCCCCAGTCCCCTTTTGTTCTGCAAAGACTCCCTCTGGCTGAGTAGCCTGAGCTCCTTCAGCTCCTTCTCCCTTGTAACAGGATTCGGCCCCAGGCCCCTCCTTTGATGATCTCTCAGACCTCCACATCTGTCTTTCCCCAAAGGGAAAGAGCTATAGGGAGCAGATCAAATTACCATTTCCTTGGTGGGCTTATGGTGGGCACCATACTTCTAGGAATATGTCCCAGAAGCCCAATGCCCTCTGGCAGCCACATCTCCTAGGCCTGGGCCCTTCTTGCTAGGTTGTCACTAATCCCTTAATCCACCTCCTTAAGAGAATGGATCCTCAATTGGCAGGAATTCCCTAGTCGCTGGCTTTGGCCTCACCCCTGAGTCCTCCATCCAGTCTCCTGGCCTCCCTGTTGAGCTAGGGCCAGAGCAGAAGACACTGGGAAGGGAAACCCAAGTTGGGTCCTAGTATTTGCCTCCCCCTTGTTCATGGGAAGATAGCCCCTACCAGGCTTCATGGTGCCCATTCTTGCGCAATTCCTGGCCTATATCTCTCATTTCCTCCTGAAAATCCAAGTGATCATTTTTCTCTGCTTTCCCCTCTGCACCCCCCGCCCCCAATTATACACCTGCCTCTCTCTAAGATCAAAAATTGAGGAGAGCAGATTCTGTTCAGAGCAAAACTCAAGTTCAAAAGAGCCATAAATCTGGCCAACCGCAATGCCAATGAGACATGGAACAGAGCTAGCACATGCCACAGGCCACACATATTCTTACTACAGAGCCCCACATATTTTACTCTGCCTACCTTAGTGTGGGGGTCAGCTATGCCCATGGTGCAGGCAAGTGCATGGTTTTGCCATGTTAGTCACATTCATGTATGGAGCGTGGTTCCTCCTGGGGACCACGTGTGTGTGTGCATGTTCCCGTGTGTGTGTGGTGGGCAGTATGCCAGGTCCACTGTAAGGCGTGTGCGCCGCAACGCGCGCAGGGCTGCTGCCTGTAGCTCGTTAGCCGGGGAGGGGGGCTTGTGAAACTAGACTCTGGTTATTAGCAATGCATTAGGCTCGGGCAGCTGGCCAGGCGGGAGGGACTCCGGACTCTGTCAGGGAACATGTGAGCGTGTGAGCAGACTTCGTGGGGGCCAGGCCTACAACCCGGACAGGCATCCTGGAATCGAATTACGCACTTTAAAGGCTAGCTGGGAGGGGTGCATGCGGAGATGGGGCTGGAGCCTGGTAGATGTGGTGGGGGTACAAGCTGACCCCCAGATGGCAGCCTGAGTTGCCCCATGAAGCACCCTCCCTCCTAGCCCCATTCCTAGCCCACAGACCTCATGGGCCAAGCACAGCACCCATAACCCTATGTACCCAGGGCTCTCAAGGAGGGAGAACATCAAGTATGCCCCAAACCCCCGTCTGCTCCCCAGAGCTCTCTGTCATAGCTTGATTAATATCCCAGACCATTGTCCATTGCTTAGTTCCCAGCCCAGGCCACCTTCTGACCCATAACCTTAAGCTGATCCCTAAGTTAGAGCTGACTTTGGAGCCCTGACACTAGTCATGGCCTGAACTCACACCCTGAGCCAAACTTGACTCCATTGCCTAATTCTGACGCCTTGAGCCCATCTGTGAGTCCTTGAGAACAGGACTGTCCTGGCCCTTGGGTCCAGCACAGGCCCAGAGACTGGGCCAAAGTGTAAGAGGGAGATTCCTAATCAGGGCTAAGAAGGAGAAGTAAGGAAACTGCCTGCCCTGCTTGCCATCTCCCTCCATTTCTCTCCACAACCCCAGGGAGTCACAAAGACAGATGTGTACCCATCTAATGAACCCCTAAGCGCCTTAGATCAGGACACCTCCCTCAGCTCCATCCACCTAGTGACTTCTCCCCTCAGAAAGCCTCCCTGACTGCCCTCAGGCTTCAGACTGGAACAGCTACCAGTAGGGATACAGATACTCAGGGCCTGGGCAGGGTAGGATAGGGCACTCACATGCTGCCACTGATCCAGGATAAGGGGTCGGTAGCGCAGAAAGAACTTGAGAGGAAAGGAGTCAGGGTCGGGCCAGGTTGAGGGAGTCTGCCATGTCACCTCTAGCCGGCGAGGGTTGCTGGGCACCGGCCGGGCTACCACGTTTTCTGGAGGATCAGGCTTCACTGTTTGGGAGACATAGCTTCATTACCACACTGATCTCTGGGAACACCACCACTTCGTCAACCCAGCCACCATGTCCACCATCTCACATTGCCAACCACTGTCGTCATAATGATGGTTGCGATCCCTCTTCTCTGTTGTCAGTCTGGCAACCACCATTAACAATCATTTCATTACTTTCATCTCTCACATTCCTGTCATCACCAATGACTGTCATTATAGTCACTGCCACTAGCTCATGATATCAACATCCCATCCTCCCAATCCCATCCTCATGATGACCAGTGTCCAGTTACCAAGCCTGTATGATGTCTCTACCATCATCCCCACCGTCACCTGGAACAACCCTCCTGCACCAAGATCATACACCAAGATTCCCCCCAAGCCTGGCTTTTCACTTCAACTTTTCTATTTCCAAACTGAGACATGCCTCCCTTAGTAGAGTCTGGGTTTGAAGCTGCTCTGTGGTCAAGGTTAAAAGACTGTCCACAGGTGTTGCAGATCTGGGTTGGAGGTAGGCTAAGGATATGATGGGAGCATATAAGGGCCCAACTCATGTAGAAACAGTCAGTCTGCCTGGGGACCCAGCCATGGGGTGGGGAGGCAAGCAGAGGGTCTGGCTGGGTCTGGGTAGCAGTAAGGGAAGGCAAGGGGACTGGCTGGGATGGAGCAGAGATAGGCAGAGGGTCTGGCTGGGCTGGGGGCTGGGGGAGCGCAGTATCTGTCCCACTCCTGTCTCCTGTTCTGACACCTCATTCATCACAGGCCGTAAGGAAGCTATTAGTGTGTGTGGGGGGGAGGCTGCAGCTGCACAAGGTTCTGGCCCAGCCTGCCCCCCTCCCCCTCCTGTATGCTGTGGGAGCCAGAGAGATGATGGGAAGAGCTGCTGGAGAGGTCTCTCAGCCCTGCAGGTAAAGGACACGCACTCAAATGTTCACAGGTGTATACATGCCATGCATATGTGTACACGTGTATATACATACCACATATACCTGTGCACACATGTGAACATCCCACCAATGCTAATATACACCTCTGGCACATACCTACTTACATATTCCCACTGAAATGAGCAGCAGGGACTCCCCGCTTCCCACATACCAATGGTGAACTCGTCGAAGGTGATAGCTGTGGCGTTGTGGCCCAGGGCATTGCTGACACTTATCGAGACCTTGTACTTGATGGTGGAGAACAGGTGCATGTAGCGGATGTGGCAGCGGTTCTTGAGGGCTGGGTCCTTCTCACAGACCATAATTTTGGAGCCGTGCCTGGGGAGGGGCCCAGGCACTGTTACCAACATCAAGGGTCAGGTGGGGCAAAGGTTGGGGGAAGGTCAAGCCAACGGCTGGGCTAGGGTCTGGACTGTGGGCACAGGGTGGGGGGAGGGCCGGGGGAGAGGTCAGAGGTCAGGATTGGAACTGGGTTACAGGAGTGTCTACTCACATCACAGTCACATTGAAGGTGTTGGGGATGTAGGTGGGGGCAGGCAGATGCCAGCTGCAGTAGAAGCCCTTGGGGTAAGTGTTGGAGCGGCAGCTGAGCACGGGCTCCCGTGGTGGCACTGGGGGTGAAGAAAGCATGGTCAGGGCATTCTTGGAGCCCCCAGTCCCCTGCACTAGTAAGGGGACAGGTGGGCCCCAGAACCCCAGCTCTCCCCCTCCAACCCATCAGCAATGCCAGAGGTTGGGGGGGGACTGTCAGCGAGGGTCTGAGGCTTCCCAGGCCACAGAGAGCCAGATGTTTAATTAAAGAAAAACAAGGGCTGTAAGGAGAGGGAGCCCCACCCCCCCCACCTGCTCAATGGAGGCGGGAACTGTGGGGAGCAGGGGACTGTGGGCCTCAGCTCATCAATCACAGGACAGAGGCGATGTCTGGGGGAATCAGCCCAGCCCCACATCTCCTGCCACGCTGTGTCCATTCCCAAACTGTGCAACAGAGGCCGAAGGGAGTCTGGCTGCTGGGATGATCAGGGTGCACTCCCTGGAGAAGAGACACCTCAGGCTTCCCTTCAGTAGAGAATGAGAAACATGAGGACAGGCCTGGGTGTCCCACAGCAAAAACAGCACTGGGTGGCTGCTCATGTTTGTATTTGTATGTGTCAGCACGCATCGGTATATATGTTACACACGTATGTGACATGAAAGGGTGACCCAAGATGGGATGTAGGTACATGTGTAGGAGCATCTATGTGCATGGCTGCCAGATCGCGTGCTCATATATGATTGCATGTGTGTGCATATGCCTATTGAGAGGAAGCTGCTATTCCCTTGGTGTGTACCTCATCCCAGCCCTAGCCCTGGCTTCTCTATCACAGACCCTTTACGAAGCCCTTTACATGGTCAGCTGCTGTCTTCAAAATGGGGAGGCCCAGAGAAGGAGAGGGACCTGCCTGGGGTTACAAAGCAAGTCAAAGCTGGGACTATACCCAAGGATGGGAATACCACCTACATGACCACACAAATACACTTGGGAAGTCTTTTCTGCTGTCTAACCACACACACTCTAGATGCCAGGAGCACTTAGTCCAGCTGTCCCACCCTCAGGCACTGGGTAAGGAGTGAGGACAGCCGGCTCAGGTTCCTGGAAGGAGGCAGCTTCTGTGATCTGACCCAGGCAAGGAATGTCCTCAGTGGCTCCAGGGACACTGACACCTCCCTCCCGTGCCCCCCTCTCCACCTCCCCACCCCCTGCCTGACAGGTGGACAGGAAATAGGAGGGGGCAGTTCAATAAGCCAGGGACAGTGAAGGGGAGTGCACGTCTATGCTTGCTGAGTGGCCATAGTGACACATGGGAAACTGTGGGTTTTCATCCACAGTGTGCATGTGACTGTGAGTGACTCTGTGAGATTGTGTGTATGTACAGATCCACTATGTTCAAGTATGGACATATGTATTTGGGCTGAACCCCTAAGATCCCATCTGGCTTTGCAACAGGAGAGATGAGGGGTTCAGAGAGGCATCAGGGAAGCCTGGGTGTAGCAGATGGAGTGGGCAATGCTGTGGGCAGAGGCAGCTGCATGCCCCAGGCCTGCAATGGACGGCCAGAGCCCAGCTAAGCCCCCACAAGGGGCAACTTTCATGCTGCTCACCGCTGTTTGCCTCCCCTGGGAAACCTTGCTGGCCCGGTGTCCATCTTGTGTCTGCTCCATGTTCATACTGCGTGCCTCTCGTATCCCTTCCCTATCTGCCCAGGGGCACAGAGGTGTGGGGGTGGGGTGGGGGGCGGCCAAGGACACAGGAAGTGCCTTGTGGGGGCCTGTGGGCCAGGCCAGAGTTGGCAGCCACCCCAGGAGGAAAGGACATTCTGAGGTCGGCTGAAAAGCTTCCACTCCTCCCTTCTGCCACCACCCTCCCTTACCCCCAGCTTCAAAGGAGAAGGGCGCTGGGGGTGGGGGTGGGGTGG